ACACAAAAAAATCGCGCTCATATATATATATATATATATATATATATATTAATTTAAATATTTCAAGAATTAGGAGAAAAACTTTCATAATTCATCAAATCACAAAGACATGAAGTATGTAATTTTTTTATGTATAAAATATTTTCATTTGATTTTTTTTTAGTGTGATCGATGGTTGATAAAAGTTAAAACCATCAAAGATAATAATGAATTGTTAAGTAGTATTATATTATATTTTTTAATCAAAAGTCTCATATCCAAATTCTATAAATGAAATCATTTTTAGTACAAGTGTTTAACTATTAAAATGAATTTTTTTTATATAAATCTGAATTTATCGAACTTCAAATAAGATAAAAAGTCGGAAAAAATTATTGTAGGTGGATAATAAATATTAGGAAACCGCATCTTTCCATGTCAATATACTTGACTTTTTCCTTGCCATAAATATTTATTCAAGTCTAAAATTCAAACAAAATACTACTACTTTTATACATATTATACTTTGACAAATTAAATATTCTATTATCATTTCACGTTTAATTATACTAGAAATTTTATTTATAAAAATAATACCAATTAAATTTATATTTTATCTCTATGTCCAACCAAATTGTAAGATAAAATAAAATAAAAAGTTAAATGTCACATACATTAAATTTAAAAAAGAGAAGAAACATAATATAAAATTCAAAATAAGGAAAGTGGGAAGAAACCAACCTAATCTATGGCTGCTTTTGGACGTCATAATCAGTTTTGTTATATCATCATGACGCTTGTCTTTTTTTATTTTTGTTGCTGAAATTTGACTCGTCAATAATTTTTACGCTAGAAATATGAGATTTTTTATCGAATCTTTCTCGAAAATACTACATGAAAATTTATGTATTTAAAATAGTGATATATCAATCAACTTGTAATTATCTCAATTATTTTATCAGGTGCCTAGAGTTTCACTAAAAGAAACTGAGGTTGTGGTAGTTGTTGAATTTTCTACAAATACATGAACAACTTGTGTGAAACAATAGTAATGAAGTCAAAAGTTTTGAAGTATTCAAATTTTTTTATATAAATATATAAAGTAATAATATTTGACGTATATACATAATTATAATATTCCGATTAAGATGTTTAATTTATAATTTTTTAAGATTATAGCTCTGCCTCAATGTTGATTTTTACAAACGGCGATCCTATAGATATTCGATAACTATGTCCATTAAAATTTAACATTTTAATTTATTTAATTTTCCTTTTGTTGTTTGGATAAGAACAGCTTAAAATAATCTTCTATTGGTTCTCTTAAGAAGCTAAGATTATGATATAATTAATCATCCTAAATTTTCTGCAAATAAAATAATATACTATCATTTAATGCAAATCATATGTTATACATAGGAAAGTTCCAAAGGGATAATTGGTTGTTTTTTCAATCAAGAGGTGGACCAATTTGCAAATATTATATTTATATGATTATATTAACATTAGTTATTATTAATAGATACAACAACATATTGTAATGTACTAGGTGTAATCTCGTAAGTGTCATGAGATCTAACTTCTGAGAAAAGTAAATACGTAGATTTTATTCTTATCTCATGAAGATAAAAACATTATTTTTATAGACCCTTGAGTATGTTATTGTTGTTGTTACTAAAATATGGTTAGTGCCTAGATCAAAACAATGAGCGTTATATGGAGGTTTCCGAGCAGAGGTGCGAAGCAATTGAGATGTATATAGAATAGATGGTAGGGTTCTAAACCTCGCCTAGCACCGAAAGAGAAGGCCTTGTTCTGCAGGGTACGGCCTGGACAGTGGAAAAATAGAATAAGATTGAGTCTACCTAATTGGTTCGGACTAAGTAGATAGATCAAAGGAATGGAATCTAGGTGGCTCTTGTGCCACTTTTGATGGAAAAGCATTAGATCGATGGCCGGGGTAATTTCTTTCGTTTCAACGAATTGAAAGAATCAATGAAACATTGAACTATTCATGTAGTTGAGAGTCCTCACTATCCAAATTCGATAATACAAACTAATTAATTTTATAATATTAGATTGAAACGTGTGTAAATTGAATGACACGACAATAAAAGTATGTAGAATCATTTCTAATTTATTTGAAATTGAGACGCAATTATTACGGTGAAACCTAACTCGATGAAGAAAAGTTGGATGTAAGCAAATTTTGGCCATTGCTTTTATAGTAAGTGTATTATTAGTTGAAACTTGAAGCAAGAAGTTAATAATGGTGTGTTAAAAAAAGGTAGCAATCACATCAAATCATAGTACTACTAATTTATTTGGGACATTGTGTTCAATTTAATTGTTTGATTGCAAAATGAAACTATCACTTTTAGGTTATTCTAATTCAAATGGTTTGTGCAGTGGCCCCACTGGAGTTCAACATTGATATTTGAAAGAGAATAACACATCCCACCTACCCCAAGAAATTCTCATAAGAAAATTATTTGTACCAAAAGGGATGAAGGAAAAATGCTCGAGAATTCCTAAAAAAGTGTTAGCGAGGAGCCCATCTTTCTTGCAAAAGACATAGGGGGATACAATACAAGAGGAAAGCGAGGAAACATTCCTTTTTTGTCTTCTCTCCGCAGACAATATTTTCAAAGAGTCTTAGCAACTTAGATTTGTTCTACCACTATAAAATTGATTATGTGTGACCTATAGGTTACGGATTTGAGTCATGCAAGTAGTCAATAATATTTGCATTAGGATAGAGTGTCTATATCACATACCTTGGGGTGCGACCCTTCCCTAAAATCTCATATAAACGTGGGATGCTTTAAGGGGTAATAGGAACCCTGTAAAAATAAAGTGTTTATGAAGCTTCGAGTATAATTTTCCTAATAATAAAAATGGCAAGCATTTTAGTAGCTTGGTTTTACATCAAGCCATATGAAATAAACCAATTGTTCTCATCATCGGATGTGGCTCCTCTCCAGAAATGTTTGTGTCCAGTTTGTCCAGTATAGTGTTAATCTTATTACACTTGTAAATAATCAAATCTAAGGGCTAAAATGTGCTTAAAAAATACACCTCATAAATCACAGTTAAGCTAAGAGTTTTGTATTTCTTTCTTTCCGTATTGTGGGATTTCTTTCCGTTTAAAAGATTGTAAAGTACTAAATTTGATTTTAAAACTAAAATTTATATATTCAAAAGATACATACAAAAATATTATAAGTTGTAATTTTTCATATACATTTTAAAATATTAATAAAAGTTCATTAATTTGACTTTAAAAAAATGTAGCAATTTTTTTGAGATGGAGAGAATATATAATTTTAGTGAGTTCGGGAATTGGAGGTGGAAATTTATCAATTTTTGGAGACCTTACTCGAACAATTAAACAAAAAATCATGAAAATATTCTAAAAAGATTGGAAAATTTTGAATTAGATTTTTAAATTAAAATTTATATATTCAAAAGCTATACAAAAAGTATTATAATTTGTAATTTTTCTCATATCAAAATGATGAACGTATATATTTTAAAATTAAAACATATATATTTGAAAGTTATACATAAAGTATTATAATTTGTAATTTTCTCGTATCAAAGTAATGAACATAAATTTAAAATATTAGTAAAATTTCATATAATTTGACTCTCCAAAATAATACTTATAAGTATTTTAAGACGGAGAAAACATACGATTTAAACGAGTTTGGAATTTGGTAGTGAAAGTTTATCAATTTTTGAAGTCCTAAAAAACAATTTATATAATTAAACAAAAAAAACCATGAAATAATAAAAATTAGAAAACGAGAATTGGTCGAGAGGAAAAGGAAAAATCTAACTACACTGGACACAAACACTACCGGAGGGGAGCCGCATCCGTTCTCATCAATCATCATAATTGACATTATTAAAAAAGATGATTTACATTGTATCTATAGCATTAGCTAAAATTTACAGCTTTTTTTTTTTCACCAAGTTGAAGATGCATTGAAAAATAATACAAGTAGATGAAATATTGAGGCTGTTTCAATGATATTCCATCACTGGTGAGTGGTCCAAATGCAGGAAGGCTGTTGCTTCATCTACAATATTTGCTCTGCAAATTGGTTCATCGATAGTATATATCTTGTTGTAAGCTTTCGTGTACAAGTTCAAAAGACAACAAACAGAAATGAAGATGACTACTAAGCGTACAATAGATAATAGATTGTAACAAAAACAACAGATAAGAAGTTAAGAACAGAACAGTACTACTACAACAACAACTTATCAACACATTATTTGTTATAAAATCAGGCAAAGCTTTCCTTTTCCTCATCGACTTGTATAAGGTCAAAACCACCACTGTATTCACCTTAATTCCACACATTTTGGCAGCCAAATAAGGTAGAAATAGTAACAACATTAGAATGTAAGCTATCAAGTTCCATTTCACGCAGCACTTGGACAGCCTTGTCCAGAAGACCATTAGATCCATAACTCCATAAGCATCAATCAGTACATTATAACTAAGCAGATGCAGCATGTCGTTCAAGTATAAAAACAGTGTGGTTGGGTTGAGAATTAAGTCCAACACAAAAAACTACTCTGTTTCGCCAATTGCAGAAACACTTACATCAGTTAAAACGACAACTTATACATTTTTGACAGAAAAGTCAACAGCAACAAAAGATCCAAGTCTATAACCCCAGAACTCAGACCAGTAGAATCTATGGAGACATTGTGTCAAAGAACTGGTCTATAATAAGCACCATGGGGTTCACTCCAAATTCCACCGTTGATATTGGTGCCATACATGATAAGATATTCAACTGAAGACTATTATCAAATACAAGTATCGAACATAAGTGCAGTTACTAATCTAGGAACAAACGAAAAATAAAACGCAGCATATGTTGAACAGCCATCAAACAGTGATGAAAACAACTTAAGGTTTCTCAAGTATCGAAACACATATCCTACCAAGGGTCAAACAAAAGAAAATCCGAATCAAGTTCTCTAACGCCAGCAAGCAAAAGTGAATCAATAGTTCACTATCACACATATATACTTTAAGCAAAAAGCTAGACAGGAATCCCAACAATCAATGTAATCAATTGGCAGAAAACTTAACTATAGATTAAGCAGTTGTTAAAACAAAAGAGCAGTTAGGGCTGAGCACTAGTTTTTAAGGAAAAAAAAAAAAAACTAATCTTTCTATTCTTATCACTAAAGTTGAAGGCTTTGTAAAGATTGCATGATTAGTTGGTTCTCAACAGACATCCCCACAGCATCGCCATTCTTATGATCAACTTGAACGCGTCCACCTTGTGGAGATTGAATAATCTGCATCGCCTTATCGGAAAGTTGAAGGCTTTGTAAAGATTGCATAATTATCTGGTTCTCAACAGACATCCCCACAGCGTCGTCATTCTTATGATCAAGTTGAACGTGTCCGCCTTGTGGAGATTGAATAATCTGCATTGCCTTATCGGATTTCCCTTGATTGTTATTATTACTATTACCCCATTCTTGTTCCTTCGTCTTCATCATCATGGTTAATATCACATGTTTTCTCTCAACTTTGTTTGGGGGCAAATATTTTGATGAGAGATAATATTCTCTGATATGCCACTCACTCTTTCTCAATCTCTTTGATGGCTTGCGTCTACTGTTGTTGGTGTCATAGTAGTAGTACCTGTAAAAACAAACAGGAATTAGTCGAGGTACAGACCATGAATCCGAGCTAGTTTAGTCAACTATTTGACTGAGTTCAACTCTTAACTTTAAATACAACTAGAATGCAACTCGAGTATCCAAAACTCAACCAGAACCTCCGGGACACAAACCAAATATGCAAATTAATTATAAAACATGTTCTGAACCTATTGGAATCATCAAATCATTAGTCGAGGTGCGTGAAAGCTATGGAATCAGTCGAGTTGCAGATAGTTTAATCAACTAATATGACCGAGGTAACTCGATCAAATCATTAGTCAAGGTGCAGATAGTTTACTCAACTAATTTGACCAAGGTAACTCGGTCAAATCATTAGTCTAGGTGCATGAAAGCTATGTAATTGGTCAAGGTGTGGATAGTTTAATCAACTATTTGACCGAGGTAACTCTTAACTTTAATATAACTAGAATGCAACTCGAGCGTATGAAACTCATCTAAAACCTCTCGGATACAAACCAACTATGCAAATCAATTATAAAACATGTTATGGGCCTATTGGAATCATCAAATCATTAGTCGAGGTGCAAATAGTTTAATCAACTATTTGACCGAGGTAACTCTTAACTTTAATATAACTAGAATGCAACTCGAGGGTATGAAACTCATCTAAAACCTCTCGGATACAAACCAACTATGCAAATCAATTATAAAACATGTTATGGGCCTATTGGAATCATCAAATCATTAGTCGAGGTGCAAATAGTTTAATCAACTATTTGACCGAGGTAACTCTTAACTTTAATATAACTAGAATGCAACTCGAGGGTATGAAACTCATCTAAAACCTCTCGGATACAAACCAACTATGCAAATAAATTATAAAACATGTTATGGGCCTATTGGAATCATCAAATCATTAGTCGAGGTGCAAATAGTTTAATCAACTATTTGGGCAATGTAACTTTTTTTTTATGACCCTGGTGTCCAGGCCATCTTTCGCGCCCTTCCACCAGCAAGCAACAGGTACCAAGTAATAACTCTTAACTTTAATATAACTAGAATGCAACTCGAGGGTATGAAACTCATCTAAAACCTCTCGGATACAAACCAAATATGCAAATCAATAATAAAACATGTTATGGGCCTATCGGAATCATCAAATCATTAGTCAAGGTAATTAGTCGAGGTGCAAATAGTTTAATCAACTATTTGACCAATTTTATGACCATGGTGTCCTAGCCAGCTTTCACGCCTTCAACCAGCAACGGATACCAAGTAACTTTATGCAATTCGAGTGTATGAAACTCATCTGGAAACTCTGGAACACAAACCAAATATGCAAATCAATTACAAAACGTGTTCTGAACCAGTTGGAATCACCCAAATCACAAAAAAAAAAAGAAGTTCATGATCGATCATCGGGGAAGTAATCATCGATCCCAATAAGTTACTAATTCTTACCAAGAAATTTTGATGTTGCCAATGTGTTTATTGTTGGAATCAAAAATAGACTTAATTTTGGGATTAGGTTTCCAAAACCCCGGAGTATCTTTACTAATAAGCATTTTGCATTTCTCCTTGTTCTGAAAAGTGATTATACATCGTGTGTTCTTCGTCATCCCCTGAGTAGTTTCAAGAATTTGTAATGGACTGAACACTCTGATTCCGTAAACTTCATCCACATCCTCCATAACAGTATGCTTAAAGGCAAAAGGCTGCCTATTACGTATTTCACCAAATACTTCATCAACTTCTTGTCTGTTGCTTTCGAACAACCACCATCATCCGTTGCTTTCGAACTACCACTTTTCTCTATTGAAGAGAGATCGTAAAACTCCATTGAAGAGAGATTGAAAATGATGAATTAGAAGAAGAAGATATTTATTAGGTCTCTTTACTACAGTTCTTGTTAGGCAAAGGTAAACGTGTATTAGAACTATTTACTTTATGAGAACCCAACTAATTTCGATTCGGGTTATTTAAGGCCCCGTTCGGGAAAAACGCTCTCTTTCCATATTCGAAATTTGTATTAGATTCATTTTTCAAGAAATGTACTTTCATTTTTTTAATTTCATTTTTTTTTACAAAAACCATATTCTTAATGAATATACATTATATTTAATTAATATTCATATACATAATTTATAAACTAGATTCATATTGATTTAGGTTTAAAATAATCATATCATATATATATAAAAGAGAACCCTAGGCTTGCCTACGTGGCGCCACCACAAACAAGGATTCCTTTTTAATTTATTTATTTCCAAAATTAGCCTTCTCTTTCATGAAAAATTGTGACTGTTATTAAAAGTTGTGACTTTTATGAAAAATTGTGACTTTTATGAAGAGTTGCAATTTTTATGAAAAGTTAACTTTTATTAAAAGTTGTGACTTTTATGAAGAGTTGCGACTTTTATGAAATGTTGTAACCTTTATAAAAGGTTGTGACCTTTCCGAAGAGTTATGACTTCTCCAAAGAGTTGTGACCTTTTCGGTCAGGCACAATAAACATTTGTTCACACTACCATTTGTTGTCTATAAATAGAAGGGTTCCCTCTCATTTTAAAACAACGAAAATTCTGAATTTCTTCTTCTTCTGCACAATTAAATATTTGATTCTGAACTTCTTCTTCTTCTTCTTTTGCACAATTAAATATTTGTGTACTTTGTTCATGTTGAGTGACTCACTGACGCTATTGTTTTTGTATCATTACACCGGTGAATAAAATTGTTTCATCCTAAGAGGATCTATTTCTTTAAAACTCGGGTACTAGAGGGAAATGATTTCCTTAAGGAAACATTGTGCATTCAATGAGCTCGATTTTTCCTTTCTGTTTCATTCTATTGCTACAGATCCTGGTATTTTTTTTACAGTCACTAATTTATGCTTATGATATTAATTGTTGTTTTTTAGTGCATGTTTTAGACTCTGTTCTTTATGTTTCTGTAAAGTTATTGTTCTAAGTATTTGTTAGTATAGACTCTATGTAAATTCAACTACTGCAGATTCACAAATAACTTTTTACAGAATACATTTCTTTACAACATTCTCCAAAGATATATTTTCTTCTCCAAGAGATCAAGCCTATAAATTTATATGATTTTTTATTGTTGTCATAATAATGTTAATATTAACCGGAGTAAAAAAAAAAATAGAAACTCAAATGATAGAACTAAAACTAGCAATTAATTACAATTGTATGATACACTATAATGACTATCCTCTCGCACCAAAGTACTCTTTTGAACTTTTTCCCATTATCTCTTACTTCTCTTTCACCCTTTTCAAGGATCCTTAATGTTTTGTTCGCGAACAACTTCAATTCCCAAACACCATCATAACTATATTACATATGAAATTCAGATTTTTGAAGATTGCATTTTAATTTAAAACACATAATGACTACATATTACTTATTGGTATAGCATATGATTATGGAACCTTTGCTCTTGATAAACACATTAGTTATATATATACATATATAAAAAATATTTGATTTGAAAAGTAATTGATAGTGTTATACTAACGAAATTTGCAAAGAAGAAAATTGAGAAAAATATTTATTTTGACTCTCTAATTAAAGACACTATGTATCCATGCATATAGATGATAAAACTAAACTAACCATTGTAAATTTCTAAAGCAAATTAATGAATCTGTAAAATGAATTTATGTAAACTAGGAGAAAATAGTGTTATGATTTGTAATTTTGCTTTTTCTTTTAATAAAACAAATGATAAACTACAATTGAATAACCTCTATACTCTTGAAAATAGATTAATATAAAAATGCTATAACATCAAAATACAAGAAAGGTTCTATTCTAATAAATTTTAAAGAAAAATAAACTAACCGCGCCAAGCGCGGGCCCATTTACTAGTTATGATTATATATTAGCAATAACATTTATACCAAATACATTGTACACAAACAAAGTTATAATGGAAGAGGTGAAGTGATGTATATGAACGATAAGAGAGGGAAGGAAAAGGGGAGTTTTGTAATTCATTCAAATGGTAGGATTTCTTTTTTAGAGATTATGTTATCTTAAGTTGTGTAACTACGTAATTTTCTCTTTCTATTTTCCTCAAGGAGACGAAACTAGCACTATAATTCATGTAAGCATTAATGATTACTTCCACGGCTCATATCCGTGATCTATATGTAACACGATGATTCATCTCTAGAAATCAGATGAATCTAATAATACTGTGATAACAGATCAGAGGCAACTTAACAAAGCCATTTACATTCCATCTATAACAATAGCTAAAATTTACAGCTTTTCAGGAAGTTGAAGAAACCTCGAAAAATAAATATTAGCTGGAAAATATTGAGGTTGTGTCCATGATGTTCGATCACTCGTGTCCAAATGCAAGGAGGCAGTTGTGCATCTACAATATTTGGTCTGCAAATTGGTTCATCGACTGTATCTTGTTGTAACTAGTCGATGAAGGACTGTATGCTTGCATATACGATGTCAAAAGGCAACGAACAGAAATGTAGATGACTACAAAGCCATGATTGTTTTCCATCGGAGTAACCAAATCAGCATCCAAATGGCTTGCTTTTATTTGCTCGATCCAATGAAGGAATTGATTGAAACTGCAGCAGGTTGCTAACAAATATGCCCAAGTAGCTCGAGGCATTGGTAGGATGGCAACGATTATCTCCAAAGAAGCTCACTTGTTGTTTCATGTCCTGATTTCTTTCTCAAGGATTCTGTCAAATGAAAAGAAAATATGGAGATTCATTTTGTAAGTTTTGAGGGATTTAATCTTGGTCAAATACCTAGATTGCCCCTTAAACTTGACACGAACTTAGTCAGTGATCAGATAGACACTTGAACCTGACAGCAGTATGAACACTTTAGGTTGACAAGTGTCTATTTGGTCACTGACTTGAGCATCTATCTTATGAAACATGTCAAGTTTAAGGGGCTATCGAGGTACTAAGCGTTTAATCTTCAAAGATGTTCTTTTAAGTACTATCATCAGAAACAGGTACGTGTCAAGTTTAAGGGGCTATAGAGGTACTAAGTGTTTAATCTTCAAAGATGTTCTTTTAAGTACTATCATCAGAAGCAGGTAATCTCAAGGGAAGTGAATATTAACAAGTGTTCCAAACAAAGCTTACCAACTCTTTGTTTTATAACAGCAGCATTCTCGGTCCCTCCACTACGTTGAGCAAAGAAGAGTATATCGTCATACATATTACTTGATGGCTGAAGTCGTCCATCTTCCATCCACTCCAAAACCTGCATCAGAAGTTCACCAAATTGGTTTACTGATCAATGTTAGAAAAGATTGAGCACAAGGGTTTTCAAATCAATAAGAAGATGGATAGAAGAAAACATAGAATAACAGATTTTTCTGAATTTCGGCTAATCCATTCTTGCGTAGTAAAGTGCTTCTAATTCCTCTGCAATTGCTAGTATCTCACAGGTCTTTACCTTACCAAAAAAAAAAAAAAACATTTCACAGGTCTGGGAATTCAGCATTTTTCACTTTCCTTTCTTTCTGTTTTTTTATTGTGAAAGAAAGGTAAGGTAATAGAGTTTAGCACTCGTGGGTTCAAGGCTTCTCTCTTTAAATGCATAGGAAATCAACAGTTTTTTCTTTTTGTTTTCTCTACTCGAACAAATATAGCAAGTCTTACTTTGTTGGGTAACCATTCATCTGGGAATTAAAGATGATGGTATCAGAAGTAGAGTGAAGGGTTTTTTTTTTGGAGTAACTGGTAAAGTTGTTGTTGTCGCGTGACCAGGAAGTCACCGGTTCAAGCTATGGAAACAACCTCTTGCAAAAATGCAGGATAAGGCTGCGTACAACAGAATATTGTGGTCTGGCCCATCCCCGAACCCCACGCATAGTAGGAGCTTAGTGCACCGGACTGCCCTTTCTTTGGTACCAGAAGTAGAGTATGTCCTTTAAAATACAATATTCTACATCACCGTATTACTAGTCGTGCTGACAGAAACTAAGCAATTAATACACATTAATAGACTTCTGAGAAATGTGTTTGCTTCGAGCATCTTTTTCTAGATACCTTAGAGAAAGAAAGAGAGAGAGAGAGGAGAACAAGCTAATGCATCGTGTATTCTGTAAAACTCACAATGTAGAATTACACTCCCTCTATTTCAATTTGTTTGGCTTACTTTCTTATAGTCTGTTTCAAAAAAGAATGTCTCTTTCCCTTTTTGACATCTCTTTAAATTCCATCTTTCCACGTGTCATGTTTAAGACCACAAGATTAAAGGGCGTTTTGGTACAATCTACATATCTTTAGTTTAAGACCACAAGATTCAAAAGTCTTATTTACTTTTTTGAACTCCGTATCAAGTCAAAAGCAAACAAACAAATTGGAACAGAGAGAGTACTAGTTTTACTATATTTGAAGATTTAGACTTTTAGAGCCACTACGAATTATCCAAAAAAAGAGAGAGCAAAGAAAGCTCTAGGGCCACAACTAGAGGATGTCTTAATGGATAAACGAAAATATTTGCCAGAAGTTCTAAAGGTATTACCTCAATATATTTTCTCCAATTTCCAGAAGCCAAAAGATTTTTCAGCAGAACTGAATAGGTTGTTAAATTAACTTCTGTGCCTGATGTGACTACCTTATAGAAAAACTGCACAGGTGACAAAAGTGGAGGAAATGTGTCAAATATTGCCTTAAAATGCAAGATTGAAAATGTAATCTTACTGAAAGAAAGTACAAGGCTTGACTATACCGCATTGAATCGACATTTAAACTGAAAAAGTCACTGAGACGTTTACACTTACTTTTATCATGGTTTCAGTCTTTCCCGATTTGCCAATACTATGCAGAAGCTGGTTTAGCGTTCCAACAGACACATAAGGGAGTGAAGCCTCCATTGTTGTAGTAATTTCTGTAATCATCCTCCAATCTCGTAAGCTTCAAAAA